TGTGGTAATAACATTCATGGGAACCATCCCAGCCCACTATTTGTCCCAGAAGTTCCCTAACTATAATCCTACCAATTCCCAATGTCCTCACTGAGTTCGGCTTCTCCTCATCTCACAAAAGTTCAAGTACTAATGGAATTACTAGCATTTTATGTTGTTCTTGAGAGCTTGGACCAAGATGACCTGCTTCGCTATTCTAGTAGATTGGCAATTAGTATCTGCTTATTTTTCTACGTACTTGAACTGTTTATCTTGAACAGAAATTACCTATATTTATAGGAGAAATGATTTATATTTATAGACCTAGCATATGAGTATTTTATGGTCAATGCTAGAGTATTTAGGCAGAACAAATCGTGAAAAAGAGAGAATCCCTTTCAGTCTTGGTTACTCTTTTTGAAGCTAAACTTGAAACTCTAAAAAAACATCAAGGGGTTTCAAGAAGACGAAAATACTACAGATATATGCTTTATGAAGATCTGTGTGAAAAAAATTGTCAAGTAGAAGTGAAGAAGGAAATATAAACAGCGAAACACGATACCCAGAGCACTTTAGAATATGACACCCTATTCAACAATTTATTCACTATTCAGATGGCTGTCACTTTGAGATGGCACAACGCCAAGCGGTGCCGGTATCTCAGACGTCATCTAGGGATCAAATCATGGTTGAAACTCAATGCTGTGCACATGGAGCGTTCAAGCTGTCGCGAACTGGCCAGCTGGACTTGAAGTCCTGCTAGGGAGCTAGAAAACTCTTTTTGGAGTCGGTTGGTTACTTCAAATTGAGACTTTACTGATATAGGCATTCAAAGGTTCTACTATATTGAGGGCAAAATGAACGCGTGGCGCATGTTGCAATAAAAATAATCAGTTTCAAAGAGAAGAGCTCTATTTTAGAAGCTATCAATTGCAGTGCACGATCTCTAATTACGGTAATTTTTACAAACTGTTTTGTGGCGAACGCAAACTCTCTACAAGAAGCAAACCTCATAAAATGATTCAATATTTGAGTTCATTAAAAGCCAAAAAAAATTACAAAGAGATTCGGGGCCAGTAGTGGAACTGATCACCAGATGCAAGCTCACGTAAATCTTTTTTAGCGGTTATCTAACGCCTTGGAACGTAGTCCTTAATCTCTTGAGGATTTCAAGGACAAGGGCCGACGTGGAAACGGCACCATCTCATTCGAGTTAACCTGAAGTTGAACTTTTGGAACGCTCCCGGCAATCTATTGAAAACGATACCTATCATCTGTCAGATATAATTTTCAAAGCCCAATTAACAAAATTTCATTTCATTTTGCACTTTTAAGGGATTCGTCAAGCTTTTCCTATTTTCTACTTTCTTCTCGATAGCGCTCATGGGGACCATTCACAATGGACCATCCTGTACAAAATAAAATGCTAAAGTAAGGTACAAGAGGAAATTTAAGAAGAAAAAACTGCTGGAACGATGAAAAATTCACAAACGGTTAACAATAAAAGCTGATGGAGCAATGAAAGCTTAACATTACGCCAACGGTTTGAAAAATAGGGAACACTTTCTGTGGTTTTAAAACAACTTTTCTACCGCTACCATTCATTGTTGAATCCTTCAAAATAAACAAAAAAGATCATTACGTTCTTTTGAAAAATGGGAACAGGCTAATGCAATAATTTTAACTGCGCTGTGCATTCAAACGCTGCATCCTACGGGACGTCTCATCGGAAACCATGGAGATTAATGCCTCAGCGACTGATTGCTTTTATGCACGCCCAGTCTGAATTAGCATTTACAGTTGTACAGGGTACCACTCCACTTAGACAGGGTGTCTTTATCTATTTATTTACTTATTTATCAAATTATCAACATTCACTCGAGGTGGTGCAGGGAGAAGCGCACTATCCTACACGCATGATCGCGGATTCGAACCCCAGACGATATCCGAGAGGTGAACCAGGCCTTCATCCTTGTTGGGTCGGCTAATTGGTAACAGATTCGTCTGGCAGCTAAATGCACTGAGTTGTGTATGGGGTGGCCACATCAAGTCATTGTATAAGCCTCGCATTTTAACCTCCCTACGGGTCCAAATGGTAGTCAAGTGGGAGGACGCCAGAAAATGAAAGGTGATCCAGCAGAGAATGAGATTACGGGAAATATAAGTACAAGACATTTATGTGTCATTTATCATTCATCTGGAAATTTATCTATCTATGGATACCCTGAATACAACTCGTAGAAGGTTCCAAGACTACCTGAGTAGAAGAACCTCTTCAGTGAGCTCGATGGGCAGATTCGCAACGAAAAAGTTTGTGATAAACTCATTTTCGAGGAGCTTCGTATGTCTTTCACTAGCTGATGAAATTCTTCATGTCCTTATCAACTTATCAACCTATGTTCTCGAAGATACAGCTAATTTGAGGCCTTTTTTTGAGGTAATTTAATTCCTATATCTTTGATCTGTTGTAGATATCTATTAATCGTTGTCAGAAGAAGGCGAGGGCAAGCGGGATCTCGGTAGTGTAAGGGATAGAGCACGGTGCCCGGGAAGCACAAGTAGGGGTTCGAGTCCCGTCCAGGACTGAAGTTTTGTCCATAAATCGCCAACCTTGATGGATTCATCGTTCTGTTTATGTTAAGCTCATCGTAATTCCTCTTTACGACCTTTTCCGGCAAATATCGAGTTGTTCCAGTAATCAAAAGGGACGTAGACGAAAGAAGAGAAGAGCAAGCGGAAGGAGAAGCACAACGCAAGAAATCAGCAGCAAAACCTGTCCCCTTCTGTATGAGACGAAGTTAGGAGCAAGAGTCGCAGTGTTCGATGTTTTTGAAAGTAGAGACTGTATAGGTGTCGTATAAAGCTCGCATTATTCAGAAAAGCTCTTCTTCTAGATAGGGATAGTGCGCTCCAACACTAAAGCCGCAACGCAACCGCTTTCTTGAAAATATTGTTTTGTTTTGGCGCTTATGTTTTTCTGCCTCATTTTTTGAATTAAGGTTATTCTGCTTCCTTTTAATCGTTGGCTACTGATTGGAATTACTTTAGCTGTCCGAATACTGCAAAGTGGAGGCAGCTATGCAGGTTAATACAACGATTGTAGTGTTTAACCTTTCGAAACACCAGCAGTTGTGCCATATATTTTCGAAATTCATTGAATTTTGATAGCTCTACTTGAAAAGTTTTAGGTTGCTGTCCTTTTACTGCATGACCCTAGAAATAATCTTTTCATGACTGCTTAAGTAAAGGTGATGGTACTTCTCTATTCCGTCCAGGATCTTCCTAACCATTACTGTTCCAACAGCGAAACGAATTTGATGGTCGCATGAACTTACTGCACTCTTTCCTTGTTTCCTTTCTTTTCGACTCTTGTCATAAACTTTTCTTCAATCCTTGCTCCACCTTTTAAAACTGCTTCTGTACCATCCATGATTGAGAGTAGCTTTCATGTCATGGGCGAGATGAAGTTCTCAAGAAACAGCGAAATGTAGGTGGTATGGGGGCAAAGAGGAGGAATGGAAGGCTTCGTAATCATATGATGTTTGGGAACGTTTCCAGCCGAGAGAATATGGTTTTGTTTTTCAGAACCAGGCAGCAGTCAGTGTTCAATTCTTACTCCATCCCAGCTTTTTGCAAAAGGTGATCATCTCACTTACCCGGTGCTCCTCCCCTACTGGCCCTAGGTAAAGACTCCATTCCCTTGGCTAAGAATCGCCTCTAAGAATGATAAGCACAAATGAAGTCTGCTAAACCTTCTTTTCGACGCACTAGCCCTAAAAGTTGGATGCGAGTGTCGGTCCCCACCCAACTACATTATCACCAAAACATCTTTTGTGAAAAATCCAGGTTCGTGAGATGCGGTTCGGTTTTGTACGGATAATTCGCTTTACTCGTCGTCTGAAACCACTGAGACAATCCCGTATATTCGAAGATATTCTGCCCAAACCTTGAAATTAGCCATTGTGACCTAATTTGCCGAGCTGCTTTCATAGTCCGCCGGCCCGCCCGCGAACTATGAAAGGAGCCCCTGCGCGTGTTGTTTAAAAATAAGGGGACCCGCATGATGTACGGAGCAACATTGCTATGACCGTGACAGTTACCGAGTAAGTTGTACCAAAGTACCGATTGAACATGTCGTTTAAGGTGAGTATTTGATCCTTTCTTTTTTGAGGAAAAAATATCATCCTAGTATTAATGTATGAAGGAATATTTTTTGAAGTGGCTCTGAAGAGCCCGCAAGATCTTTCGGCTGGTGTGGAATGGTCTATTGTGAGGTGAATCTTACCTTCCCTTCTCTCAAAAAAAAAGAAAAGTACTGGAAGGGTTCTTCTTCAGCTATAGCGAGTTCTGAGATCACTTACAGAGATAGTGATCGACTCACCTGAGGGCAAATTTTTACCATTGTCGCCTGGTGGGCCAACTTTTCATGAACTCGCACATATTATTGTTGAGTTGAATTGGGCTTTTCTTATCTCTAATCTTGTTATATTGGTCCCGAATGGCTTAATTTGTATCAAGTCTTTGTGCTGGTGAAGCTGAGGTAGTTTCCAGTGCGCTCAATCACTCGCAAATCCATTGTAGAGGCCCTTCCAGAAAGCCGCTATACCCTCTGAATGGGGAAATGGCCCAAAAACACCATGTTTCATCATTTCGTCTTTTTTTATAGTTTAAGCTGGCTTTAGGCATTTCTGCTTGTAACAAACAACACTTAATGATCATATACTGTTGTGTTGGTAGGTTGAAGTCTGTTTTCTTCAGTACCCAAGGTAGGCAGTGATTACAGCCCCAAGTTCTTGAATGAAATACTCTCGATACGGCTACTCGGCTCAATTCACCCAGGGCTAATTTCAGTTTATTGTTTTNTTTTACGTTGCTGCCTTGCGCTAACTCGACTCTATTTTCAATTGCGATGTTTCCCTTGGTTTTGCATACTTCATCTCAATTTCAGCTGCCCGATCAATTCTTAGGAGTAGCATAGGCAGTGTTTTTTTAGATTGAACTGATTGGATGTGCACGTCATTATGGGAATCGCAGGACTTTGGCCCCTTCTTGAGCCAACTTGTCAACCGGTTACGCTTGAAACCTTAGAAGGGAAAATATTAGCTGTTGGTAAGAGTCTTTTTATCATTTTTTTACTGAAAATCCTACATAGTGACAGTTTTGTGTGCTTCGCTATTCTTCTTGTTGTGAATTCTCGATATAGTCGCTTGTAAAGACCTCAAAAAGCATCATTTATTGATCAATACACCCCTCGTGCTGGAGCTTTTACTATCCCGATTGATTTTTCTACTGGCTTGTGTAATCCAGCAAACAACTGCAGTGGTAATACAGGAAACAAATCTCTGTTCATTCCATTTCAAAACATTTGAGGACCATTCTTCAGCTCTTTGACACATGGGGAACTTTCTAGACCTTCATGTTTGTGGAGTTTAGAACTGAGAATGCTCAGTACAGGAAAATTCGAGCGTGTCCCATTCGACCTTCACCTTCTACTCGTTTCGTCTACGCAATCTTCAAGTTTTTGAGGAGTGGGTTGAGGAGGAACTATTACGACGTAGAAGAGATGTTCTCGGCAAATATCAGTATATGTTCAGTACAGTGGGCTTCTGTTTAAATCGAAGAAGTCTATTCCGAGATTAGATATGATCGGCATTACGGGGTATTGGAAAATTAGAACATCCTCGGAGAAACGATCCTTCAGAAGCACTTCAGTTCAAAAGATTTCAACGTTGTCAACACTATGGCATGTCCTTATTTCCTGCAAACTTTTTATTTTTTTTTTGTGAAACTCAAGTGAACTATGTTTGCATAGAAGTACATAAGACCGTTGTTTTCCGGATTTTAGCGCTGAAGCTTATTTTTTTCAGATGTTTCCATCTGGATTTATCAAGCTCAACTAGGATATCCTGGTGAAGTTCGATGTCCACATCTTGCACTGCTTGTTTCTCGGATGTGCAAACTTCTATACTATAAAATTCGACCTGTATTTGTGTTCGATGGGGAAGGAGTACCGTCATTCAAGAGCAAAGTTTTAGTGAGCCGAGTTTTTTTTCTGTTTTTGTCAAGTATCATTCGTGCTTATGTATTCGTTTCTCGTCATTGGTAAAGGGAAAGGAGAAATTCATGCCTGAGAGGCACTGCATGTTTTTCTGCACTATATTTTAACAGCTTCCCTTCATAATACCTCAGGTGTTGAGGAGGGGTTAGTTCGGGATTGTTATGATCCTCTGTGATCAGTTTCTTCAACATTACGAAGCCTAAGGAAAAGTCTGCATCGCGTGGTAAGTCAGACAGTAAGGCTTGAAAGCAGTAGTACGTTTATCCACACCTTCTCATAGCTGTGTTTTTTTTAGTTCCTCTCACCGACTAGTGTTCCCTTAAAAGTGTATTCTTTCAGAATGAACGCCGCCTTAAGAAGCATACGGAAGATATTGTTCTAACTCATGCGAAAAAACGTACCCTACTAGACCTAGCTACCAGTAGGTTTCGTATCTCAGTGCTCTTTCCCTTTTACTTCAGTTGTTCCAATTATTTTGGCTGTTTTTCCGGATTCTTGTACACTGACATTTGGAAAACTTAATCAGTTTTCTTATGATTGTTACGATTTCCCTTTTTTCAAGGCGCCCAGACACAGTCGGAAATCGATGCAGTCAAGAATAAACTAACAGCGGCGAGTTCGAAGCGACAGCGACTCGAGAATGACTTGTTTGATATTTTACCGCCGAAGCCAGTGTACGTACTCTCTGCAATAAATGTCTTACGTACTCTTTAGATCACTTTATAGTCATGAATTACAGCGAAGTCGTGGATTTGAGCGATGATGACGAAGACATTGTTGTCGTAGATGCTAAAAAAGAAGAACCATCATCTCGAACTATTGACATCTTAATGGATGAGCGTGAACGGATTCGGAATTCTAGACTCAGACCCTCGCAGGTTCGTTGAAGTACAGAAAGTCATATGTGGCATGAGGAATACCCATTCAGATTCCATCCGACTCGAAATCTTTCAGTCAATTCCAACTTGAGCGTTTGCTTTGCCGGAGCCGTCTGAATACTCACATCAAACAGGTGTGCTCACTTTATCTTGCTTTTCAAGTTTCCTGATGATTGAAATTTGATTTTGATGACCGATGATATTCATGTAATATTTTAGTTGGTTGAAAACAAGGATCCTGCTTCCGTTGAAGTTTCATCGCAATTCAAGTCCGGGTCATATGACCAACATCCTTTGTTCTCGATTGCCGATGGTTCTGAGGTATTATTTGACGGTATTTTCAAGTATGTACCTTTCTAGGTTGCTGTTGTGATGCAGTTATAATCCATCTGTTTATTTTTTCAACTATGTTATAGTTATAGTTATAGTTATAATCGACCTGTTTATTGACTTTTCATAATCGCTGCAGGATTCATCGAGTGATTTCGACGATGGAGAGTTTTATAGCAAAACCACAATGATTGAAGACCATGTAAAGCGCGGTGTGGGACATCGAAATGCTGAAGCAGGTTGGCTGCTTTTATATTCTTTCACCAGGGAAAAACACTAATTGAAAATGGTAAACGCAAAAACTTGATTCAGTTATGCTACGAACTGATGACTGGTCCTCTGATTCTGGAACCGATGACTTTATTGATGTGCCTTCTTCTGACCCACTCCTTGAGCAACAGTTATTCGGGAAAGAAGCTGCGGAACAAAATGTATACAGCATGGACCAGCCATCAACCTCTGATATCATTAAAAAGCAGGAAGCAGACTCTTCTGCTTCCAGTGAAGCAGCGGAACCTTGGGAGCCTGCTGGGGTACGTATATTATAATGAAATGGTCTTAATAAATTCAAATTGAGTTTCTGCCAATGTTTATTTCGGCTGAAGTTTTCTAGTGGCATGTAGCGCTCTATTACGTGACAAAGTCTAGGATTAATCCCGGATTGATAATCGTCCAAGCCTGACTGACTGACTTGTACATCAGTTATCCACCACTATTCGTTGTATAGGCCTCATGGGCGCTCAAACCGCCGCTACGATTCTGAAATGAACTCGAATGCGAGAGCCTATGTCAAAAGCCGGATTAATTATGCGGACGAACTGACTTTTGTTGTGTGACTTGTTATTTTGAATATTTATGCTTGCTGCATTTTTGATCTTATATATAGGATAGCGACACACGCGACTCACAGTGGGATGACAAGGGCGTCTATCGAAGTAATGTTTCGAGCAGTCGAGATTCCGAGTGCTATAAAGATCTACAGGTGATTTTCGCGTTACCGGCGCTTCTTATTTTCGTCTTTTGAGAAGAAGCCTAACATGGCCTTATTCGACGCTCAAGAAAGTCCCCATGCCGAGTCAATGTATATTTTGATTGCTTCAGGACTTCTTAACAGCCTGTGGTTTCCCTTGGATTGAGGCACCTGGTGAAGCGGAGGCCCAGTGTGTGGAATTGGAGAATTTAGGTCTAGTACAGGTTGGCGTTTTTGAAGACTAAATTTCGTATACTTGTTGTTTTGCTATAGGCTATGTTCTACTCATATGATTTACCTAGTCTCGGATATTCAGATGAAAGACTTTTTCTCCAGCTTTGTGGCAATGAATGGTCATAATCATGGCTCAGTGGCTTCCTCTTTCTTCTTTTTCTGATTGCTTTACTTGGCGCTCGGTTAATAACTTCATTTTTCCCTCAAGTCTTGCTTTTGAAGTTGTTCTAATTATATTTCAAGCAGCTCTGCTGAACTTTACTAGTGTCTTAAGCTGAAGAACTCCCTAGATGCACGTATACAATGATAATTGATTGTGTGACTTCATGGAGTGCACTTGCCTGAGTAGTGAATAGTTCACGCATAATATAAACCAGTCACATTCCTGCTGACCAGGCTTTGTTTTGATACAGGGCGTAATCTCGGACGACAGCGATGTTTGGGCTTTTGGAGTGAAAAATGTTTATCGTCATCTTTTTTCGAAGAACAAAAATGTCCAGCACTACGACTCGCGCGTCGTTCGTCAATCATTAGGTATCGCTTCATATTAACTAATTTATATTTTTGATCCCGAGCAGCTCCACAAAACTATCGTGCGAATTTCACCTAGGTCTTTCACAAGCAGACTTCGTTGGTCTCGCTGTTCTTTCTGGAGGTGACTATTCTTCCGGTCTGGCAGGCGTTGGAATAGTAAATGCAGTTGAACTTCTGTCCGAATTCGCAGTAAGCCGAACCGTTGGACAAGAGAAGGAGGTACATTTTTTCAATTGCAAGTACAAGCGAAATACTTGTAGAAAAATTCTCTTCTAGACCTTGTCGACTCTGGGAAATGTTGAAAAGTGGATGGCTACATTCGATTCAACCGAAGATCCACCTGAACCTATTGCGTTGCGCCGAAAGCTCCGCGCCATAATAAAGAAAAATAACGATATGGAGAGGATCAAGTCGGTTTGTCATTTTAAAATCTTGAAATTTTATGTATATTGCAAGGGATACATCTGTATAGTGAAGTCTGCTATCTAGATTGTCAATCCAGATGTTGTGGCAGCCTATTTCCGGCCCAATGTAGACAAATCGCGTGAGAAGTTCCGCTGGAAAAAGGTAGATATGGAGCGTGTACGGGCCATACTCTACTCCAAACTCGGATGGGATGACGATAAGTTCAATAAGGTTTCTTTTTTTCATTATTCTAGTTATTACTTTCTTGATTGCTGACACTTTTAGCAAACGTTAACCCCGCTACAACGATGGAATGATTTTATAACGGGAGGAGCGTCTTACCAACGGCATATCACCTCCTTCACCCATAAATTACAACAATCTCCAGATGAACAGAGGGTGACGTTAACGAAGAGGGTTGAAACTGCCCTGGCTAACCTGGCTAAACGAACAGGTAATACAGTTTTACGCACTAATATTTTTTCTCTTAACACCTACTCTAAAAGAAAATTTGTTTGCGAGTTTACTAAGAATATTTGATATGACGTTCCTGTGTTGTCGATGGTCCCTTGATGTTTTGAAATTTGGGTTGTTCGCATAATTCAGCATATTTGAGTAGGTACATTTGAAGTTGTGATCTTAAGATTCTATCATATTTGTGGCTGACTCAAAATATCTTTGAGTTTAGTGGTTATTTTTTGTTCATGAAGAAGTGAGTATTTTAGTAGTTTTCGGCATAGTCGTAAGCCACACTGATATCACCCATGCTTCTGAAGTCCAAATTGGGGATTTAGTGGGATTCAATTTGGTTCATCAACAACAATATTGACATTTTTAAATTTCTTATCTTTTACTGCATATTGTAGTTATTTTTACATTCATTAATTCCTTCAATTCATTGATGTCCACGTACACTGCTGTATCGAAATAATATTTCCATTCTTATTAATCTTTGGCATGAAATATTAGTTTTCAGGATCTTCCTCAATCATTGCTTCCCTCGCGTCAAAACCGTTGGAGGCTTCCCTGGAGTCAAAACCGTTGGAGAAAAAGATCTCAAGAAAGCAATCTCGACACAAGAGGAAACGCACGAAGAAGTCAGCGGCGAAAGATTGTCCGAAGGATCTACAACTTTCTGAAGAATCTGATTCCGATAAGGCCTAAACTGAATCACCTCCATCTCGTGATGTTTTAAACCCGGTGCTTACTCCATGTGCATTTATGGAAGTATGGTCGTTTCATCCGAATGAAAATGATATATCTGTAAATAAAATTATCAAATGTGTTAAATTACCTGGATGGGTTGATTTACCCTCACATTCCAAGTTTCTCTTGTATCATAGATTCATCAAAATTGTACTACCTCACTTTACACAATGTATAAAATCATTCATTCAAATAAATGCAGTTGAGTGAAATCATTTTATTTTTCTTTATTTATTTCGCATCTCCTATTTGTATATCTTGCTTCCATAGCATAGTGTGACATTAGGTTCGTCCAGCATTTCTGAAGTGGTGATGTGTTCAACCCACTACCACTCAGTGACCTTGGCTGCCTTCAGCTGATTCGGTCTTGTGCGAGGGGATGTTGGCTGAGGGGGGACGGTACGAACGTGCGTCCGAGGGTTCGCGCGGCGAAGTTCGTGATGTTTTGTACGACTCTGACGCCAATTTTCGGNAATGATAGACGCCATAGTCGTTCACATCATTACGAACTTCGCCGCGCAATTTGCCGCGCACATCCTCGGACGCACGTTCGTACACATACCCGTTGGCTGAGGCGTCAACAAGTGCAGCTGTGAATGCACCAAACACCAAACTCTCGGGGTTTATTTTGGTCTGATCGTATCCGGCAGTCCATTGTTCAGAGATTGGCGCTAGAACAACATCTCGTGCTCTCCATGGACTCGATTGTTGAGTTTCCGCTGACAAACTGGCTGAATTATGTAACAAAACTAAAAATCCATCATTGTCAGCTCGCATTTCTACGAAAATGCCGTCCATTACATCGATTGGTTTTATCGAACTTGCCTTATGAGTAATCCATGCCAGTCTTTTTTCACAACCAGCTGCCTTTTCATTCCTTCGTTGAATAACCATGAATGTTTCATCGGGCTAGGTTCGGGAGTTGAGGTGGGACGGTTTTTGTGGGTAGTGCTGTATTTATGAAAGGTGATGACTTGTCAGTGTGTCAGAATGCGTGGCAATGAAGAGCTCAATTTGCTTGGTACCAACCCAATGTGCGACCCACCCTCACCTGTTGATATGCTCCTTACCGCGACAAACGAAATGCGTCAACAAATGAGAAAAATTAATAATATTCTATACTACTTGTATTATTATACCATTTTGCAGTCAAAAAAATAAACAAATAAACAATCTAAAGGCTGAAAGAATCGAGTTATTGCATTGAGCTGGAATAGGATAGTGGCAGATGCCTGAGCATTACGTGCATGCACTACGAATGAAACCCAAGATCAAGGCTCGCCTTCGCCCACCAAAGCCTCCACCTCACCAATTGATATTACATTTGCTTTTGCTTCCTTCAGCACTCTTCATCCTAATGTTTAGGATCATCCTAGTAATTCATTCATTATAGGTACTCTTAGTGTTGTTTACAGATGGCCTTGTCACAGGAGGTTGATCTCCATTTTTTTCCGATCCCGTTTGAGTGAAGCAAAAGGAAATGGGTAAATCATTTTACTAAACAAATGTAGTCTCTGGAATTCTGTGACGAATGTGGCCCCTAGAAAAGAAGGAAGAAAGAAGGATACCAATGGCACTAGTTCGTGGATCCTCCCAAGGGCCATTCTAAGTACCAGACCGTTTTGGAAGTATCAAATTATTAACTCGATTGGGCTGGCTGCTATTCAATTCATTCATATTGGCAATATTTTTCCATTTCTTTTGGATTGTCTATGGTCACCACGGTATCGAATAATGCCGTAGTTAAGCCATCTGTTCCGTTTATAACGTCTCTTTTACTGAGTAAATAAATAAGTAAATAAATGGAAATCGGATAAACCATGCACACAAAAAGAATAGTTTACCACTTTCCTTTTCCTTTTTTTCATGCTCCTCTTCTGGTATCTTCCTGCTCAGACACCTTGGAAACCATCCCTATCCCTAACGGAAGTACTCATTGGAAATACTTCCGACGGGGAATGGTACGATACGAGGAAGATAGCTTTTAAATAACTCTGAGCTTCCTGTTGACCATGTCCGGGTGAGTTATAACGTGTTCCCATCTGGAGTAGTCACCCGAATGTGCCACGTATACTGAGGCTGTGCGGGGTGTGTTCTGATAGTTATTTGGTTTTGTTCCTTGTGAACCGGTTCCAAACCTACCCATCCTCCCACTATTGTGTTTGTTTACTGGCAGTTCATTTGTTCTGCTTGTTGTACCTACGGTACGTGTGTACTGAGGTGCTTGTGAACAAGCTACTATGCAGTAATTATGTGTAAATATAATACTTTTAGCGTTGTTGTTGTTTGTAGCGTCTGCCAAATGAAGTAAAGCTCGTTTCTGTTTTTTCGAAGAATTTCAATTTTATTTATTACTTATTTAATCGTTATGCCCTAATCCTAAAACAACTGCTCCGTGCTGTCGAGATCAGTGATCAATTGTTTCCGTTATACCGAATTCATTTCAATACTTTCCAAATATTCAAAGGTGACGAGACATTTTTTTATCGTAGTGAAGTATATTTTTCGGTCTACAAAATCCATTGGAATGTGCATGTTCGCCCTACAAAACCTATGGTATAGCGATTCTGAGAGGAATTCGATTGTGTGGTCCATTCAAAGGGATGTGAAGTGGAAGCACAGCAGACCTCATTGTAAGTGGGTGTTCTTAAAATTTGATTTTTTATCTAGAGATACATTAAGTCGTTTCGGTTCTGTACAAGAGAACATCTGAATCCTTTTTGTATATTGTGGTGCTTGGTCGCGATTGAATATCATGGATTGATTAGCTGTTTATGTCCTCAAGTTTTTGATATCGTTCAACCGTTTACACCTGACAGAAAAAAAACAGCTCTGAAAACAGCTGTTCAGTTCGCCCACAGACACAATTGCCCGGGACGAATCGATTTGGCAATCCACCTGTGTCCTAGCCCTCCCATTCCGTGGTAATGGTATAAATAATGGGAAAAGCAGTGCTTTCGTCCACTCCTATACGTGGGAGGGTGTTGTATCAGACCATCTTTATTTACTTTAATATAAATCACGGTACATGGCATATAAGAGACCTATTCGAAGCTTGTTTCAACTCTTTCGAGTCGTCTTTAATGGTGGTGCACATTGATGACATGGTATGTATAACTTTAGTACATGGTTTCGTTCACGAGCGCGGTCAATTTGGCGATAGTGATGTCACACTAGATAGATCGTTGCATCTCTTGCCAAATATTCTAATAAGAGCTTTCATGGTCTCAGGATCCATTGTTTTCTGCACTGAACATAAATTTATTTTCCAGTTTTCTTTTGAACTTTTTTTTTTCTCAACAGAAAATCTCGTGCGTGCAAAAGACCAATATGTTTATTCGGCTGATAGCCTACTACCTGAGGTCATTAAAGCCTGCTAGAGTCCAGCATGAAAATGGCATCTTAGCGACAATATCTGACAGATTATCACCAATTGTTCTTCGAAAACATTAGCTGAGCATTTTAGATTCTGCTGAACTGGCCCACAATTCGACAATCCAGTAAGGTTATATTCAGTAATAAATCGGATGCTCGACAAATGTTTCTGAGAACATCTGCTGATGATGGGTCAGCTGTTCCTAACATGCCATCCTCATGTTGGATCCTTAGAGGCTTTGATGGCCTCGTGACTTGCATTTTCGTACAATGCCTCTTTCTGGTCCTCCTCGTAGATTTATTCAAAATGCTGCAATTATTATAATTGCATGATTGAAAATTATTGTAAGATTTGATTTGCCGAAGTACTTTCCAACGGAAAATGATTCTCGGTCCAGGAGGATTGCAGACTACGCCTTGGAGTTGTTGTATAGACCAGTTGCTCTTTGTGGCGCATCCCCCCGAGTGAATTAATATCCGCGATACTTTCATTACCGTACTCCCTGCTTCAGGGCAGAGGTGGTGTAATGGGAAGAGGCGCGCTGTCATCCATGCGCGATCCGCGGCTCAAATCGCGAATAGATGCCCGCCCAGGCCAATCAAGACTTTCATCTCTCGGCTCATTGTCACCAAAGAGTGTCGAATGTGGGGCCATCGCTCCGGGTCAGTTGATTGGTACCAGATTCGTGTGGGTGTATAGATGCACTGATCTGTATGTTTACATCGGCTGGACAACGCAATTCATTCCATAGGCCACATGCGCATCCAAAACGAAATCTACGAGTCTGTGTGAAACGGGGCGCATTTCAAAAAAGGGAGTGATTAGCCCTAAGTACTTTATACTTTCTCCTTTTATTTCCTGCTCTGCTCCGTCCAGGTTAAACAAAACCTGTGTTCGGACGTATCATGTGAGATCTACCAAAACAACTTTTTTTTTGCATATCACCTCTCAAACAGTG